GGTCTTGTTGAAACAACCCTTTTTTATAGAAACATTTTTATAGACGTTTGTTGTAACCCGTGTAGAAGCTCTTGTAGGAACTCTTCAAGAAATCCTTGTTAAATCCCTTTTAGGATCCCTTGTGTAAGCCCTTGTAGAGACCTTTGTAGAAACCTTTGTATTTTGTAATTAATAAAGCACTTGCTGCAACATGAAGTCTCTGCATGAGCAGTATGGGAATCCATGAAGAAAGGCACCGGGACTATCTGCTGAGGAATACACTCTACTACTGTTATCTAGAATAAGAATGGTATACTATTATCTAAATACTTGAGGCAAGGAGTAAGGTATGAAGCTTTCTCCCCAACCTTCATTCCATCCCCAACCCCATTGAGAGTGTTGGCATGAAACATGTTAAACAAAAAATCGGATCCTTACTGCAGATATGGGTGTTGACTTTAATGGGAGACAGGAGTAGCCAGAAGGCATGTGCTGTAACTACCTCCACTGTAATAGTACTACTCTTGCTGTAACTACTTGTGTTATTCCATCGCTACCTGCAGAACTGTGTTTATCACTAGTTCTACCTCTTGATACAACTATTTCTGCTTCTAAATGCTTTAGTACAGGTGAATGTGGACACCAGTTCTAGGAACTGTTATTAATATGACGGTAGTCGGTGTAAGCTGGATACGGCGTAAGCTGTCAGTAGCCCTATACACCCCCAACAACAAGGTACGAAGTAAACTGACAGTGGCCCTATACATCTCCGGCAAGAAGATACGGCGTCAGCTGTTTATGGCCCTATACTCCCCAACAAGAAGATATGGAGTAAGCTGTCAGTGGCCCTAAACACCCCCAACAAGACGGTGGAGATTTTATATCTGATAACATGAAGTATTTGAGGAAATTACTCTCACACCACTGACATTTGTTTTAATGGGTTCTTGAAGCAATCAACTTTTAAAGCCAATCTACTCCACGAGGGTCATTAAGGCAGCATGTCATCTGTTCACCACCGGTCAAGAATACTTTAATACTTAACATAGAGCTTAAAATAAACTACTAGTGCGTATACACCTCTCGGTGTATATATTTTGCAGCTCTCGTATGACTCTCTTGTAAGAACCCTTGTGTACACTTCTTGATTTCAAAACCTTTGTACCTTTTCGAACCTTTGTACTTAAGGTCTTTCATAATATTCTCTTCACTAAATAGCAAAAAGGCACAATACCGTGACTGGAACGATACACAAATAACCCGCACATAAAAGAGAGAAACTTACGGCGACGTTTCGGTCCGACTTGGACCATTTACAAAGTCACACTAACCAGAAGTGGAGCAGGACGGCTATATATAGGCAGGAAGAGGTGGAGGTAGTAGTAGTAGTAGTACAAGAATGGTATATAATACCGACAAGATGAAATTAAGACACATGCGCAACACCCGGGCATCCATATCGATCTCTTTCTGACAGACTTAGTGAGCACAAAAATAGTGTTAGGTTTGCCGACACTAACAATGCTCTTTTCTGTCACGTCAGAGATCATAGCCATCCTATTGACTGGTCTTCTGCTAAAACTGTCTTCCCTATTTCCAACTCGAACAGTCGCCGTCTAGTTGAATCCTCTCTAATACACAACTTTCCTTGTATGAATCTAAGCCCTGGCTTCATCTCAGTAGATGCCTTCCTCTCCCACTACATTGTAAAAGGCTCCAAACTTCAGAACATCCATGACTTAACCTGACTCCTCATTTTTTCTTTTTCTTTTTCTTCTTCTCCCTCTTCCCCTTTCCTCTTTCCTTTTTCTCCTCTGGGTTGTCTTTCTCTCTTCTGCCTCGTGTTTCTGTTCCTTCTTCATTTATTTCACCACTTCCCCTTTCACGCACCTCTGTGCACTTGCTCTCCCTCTGTGGGCACCTAGCTCTCTTGCATTGCTCCCCTTCCTTTGTATTTGACTGGCTCGTCCTCCTTATTCCCCACTTCTACCACTACCACTACTACTACCTCTTCTACTACTGCTACTACTACTACTACTGATGAAATTAAGACACATGTGCGGCGTCTGGTTGTCTTTGTTGTGCACGTTTCGCCATCCAGTGCCTGGCTGGATGGCGAAACGTCTACAATGGGGATGCCCGGGTGTTGCGCATGTGTCTTAATTTCATCTTGTCGGTATTATATACCATTCTTGTACTACTACTACTACTACCTCCACCTCTTCCTGCCTATATATAGCCGTCCTGCTCCACTTCTGGTTAGTGTGACTTTGTAAATGGTCCAAGTCGGACCGAAACGTCGTCGTAAGCTTCTCTCTTTTATGTGCGGGTTATTTATGTATTCTCTTCACTGCTCGTCCTCCGGATAAAAAATATTTTCTAATATTTTTATTCAATTTATTATTTTATTTATAAATTACAATATAAGATTAGAAGCTAAAAATAATTGTGATTTGAATTAGGTACCATGAAGCCTTGTCTTGTTGTCCAGTCGTTTAGCTGAAGTGTGAGAGGCTTCAGCTGAGGAGTGAAGAATTCAACTGAAGTGTGAATGCCTCAGCTGAAGTGTGAGTGCTTCAACTGAAGTGTAAGTACATTGCTTTCTGAAGAGTGTGGTGTGACAGACCAGGCCAGGTGTGGCAACCCAGCCTCTTCTATACAGCAGACAACTCAAGAATTATCCCGAGTTAATAAAATTAATGTGTGTGTGAGTGTGTGTTGAAAATCCTACGATAAACATTCGACTACTGCAGAGAGAGAGAGAGAAAGAGGAGAGAGTGAGAGAGAGAGAAGAGAGAGAGAGAGAGAGAGGAGAGAGGAGAGAGAGAGAGAGAGAGAGAGAGAGAGAGAGAGAGAGAGAGAGAGAGAGAGAGAGAGAGAGAGAGAGAGACGGATGCTGTCAATAGCAGAGTCAAGTTATCTTACTCAACATTTCTCCCACATATTTCTCAGATACTAACTCTACACAGTATTTACAGTCAGTAGTTTCCATAACACCTGGAAAAAACTTAGCTTGTGTAATAGGTTGTGTGAGTAGATATTAGACAGTAAGGAACAGACTAGTGTATTTCAAAACTAGTAAAACAGACCCGGCATTCACTAGTGGAACACTTACTAGTGGAGCACTTACTAGTGGAGCACTTACTAGTGGAGCACTTACTAGTGGAACACTTGTGGACCACTTGCTTGTGGAGTACTTACTAGTGTTGCACTTGCTTGTGGAGTACTTACTAGTGGAGCACTTACTAGTGGAGCACTTACTAGTGGAGCACTTACTAGTGGAGCACTTACTAGTGGAGCACTTACTAGTGGAACACTTACTAGAGGAACACTCACTAGTGGAGCACTTACTGGTGCAGCACTCACTAGTGGAGCACTTACTGGTGCAGCACTCACTAGTGGAGCACTTACTGGTGCAGCACTTACTAGTGGAGCACTTACTAGTGGAGCACTTACTAGAGGAGCACTCACTAGTGGAACACTTAATAGTGGAGCACTTACTAGTGGAGCACTTACTAGAGGAGCACTCACTAGTGGAGCACTTACTGGTGCAGCACTTACTAGTGGAACACTTACTAGTGGAACACTTAATAGTGGAGCACTTACTAGTGGAGTACTCTCTAGTGGAGCACTTACTAGTGGAACACTTGTGGACCACTTACTTGTGGGGTACTTACTAGCGTTGCACTTACTAGTGGAGCACTTACTAGTGGAGCACTTACTAGTGGAACACTTAATAGTGGAGCACTTACTAGTGGAACACTTAATAGTGGAGCACTTACTAGTAGAACACTTAATAGTGGAGCACTTACTAGTGGATCACTCACTAGTGGAACACTTACTAGTGGAACACTTGTGGAACACTTACTAGTGGAGCACTTACTAGTGGAGCACTTACTAGTGGAGCACTTACTAGTGGAGCACTTACTAGTGGAGCACTTACTAGTGGAACACTCACTAGTGGAGCACTCACTAGTGGAGCACTTACTAGTGGAGCACTTACTAGTAGAGCACTTACTAGTGGAGCGCTCACTAGTGGAACACTTACTAGTGGAGCACTTACTGGTGGAGCACTTACTAGTGGAGAGCTCACTAGTGGAACATTCAATAGTGGAGCACTCACTAGTGGAGCACTTACTAGTGGAGCACTTACTAGTGGAGCACTTACTAGTGGAGCACTCACTAGTGGAACAATCAGTAGTGGAGCACTCACTAGTGGAACAATTAGTAGTGGAGCACTCACTAGTGGAGCACTTACTAGGTGAGACCGCTCAGTGATGGAAGAAGTCAGATCACGCCTGGCCATAGACCAGTTGATGATGGTCACAGGTCAGGTCAGAAATTGGGAATGTTTCTGGTGAAGTGTTTTTGATCCAGTGAATTGGAGCTATTCTTTTCTTTATTTGAGCTCAACTTCAGTAGGTCTTCAGTGTGTCTCCTGGGGTCCCAGCTTGAGTGTGTCTCCTGGGGTTCCAGCTTGAGTGTGTCTCCTGGGGGTCTCAGCTTGAGTGTGTCTCCTGGGGTCCCAGCTTAAGTGTGTCTCCTGGAGTCCCAGCTTGAGTGTGTCTCCTGGGGGTCTCAGCTTGAGTGTGTCTCCTGGGGTCCCAGCTTGAGTGTGTCTCCTGGAGTCCCAGCTTGAGTGTGTCTCCTGGGGTCCCAGCTTGAGTGTGTCTCCTGGGGTCCCAGCTTGAGTGTGTCTCCTGCAGGTCCCAGCTTGAGTGTGTCTCCTGGAGTCCCAGCTTGAGTGTGTCTCCTAGGGTCCCAACTTGAGTGTGTCTCCTGGGGTCTCAGCTTGAGTGTGTCTCCTGGAGGTCCTAGCTTGAGTGTGTCTCCTGGAGGTCCTAGCTTGAGTTTGTCTCCTGTGGGTCCCAGCTAAAGTGTGTCTCCACGAAACAGATAAAGACATCTTACCCAGCATCTATATTATATATATATATATATATATATATATATATATATTATATATATATATATATATATATATATATATATATATATATATATATATATATATACATGAAAAAGATCATAGAAGAACATAGATAAACATTCTACTATAGATTTGATGTATGATACATTTGGGCTACGGTCTACAAATGTATATGTTTACAAACACAAAAGTGTTATAAATATTGGTGAATGAAACAAATGAACCCACATGAAGGAGAAAGAGAGAAGGTAAGATTAATGAGTGTTGTGATACTTTATGTTGAGGCCCTCTTCAGCAGACTGTTCGAGAGTCTGATGAAGACTATTGAAAGATCAGTGAAAGAACATGTTGGAGTGTCTGTTAGAGAAGTAAGTTTATTCAGGTACATTACACAAATTTTCTTGAATACGATTGTCTTACATGTAAGAATTATTAGGATTCTTCCCCAAAAAGGCAAGACGGACTTATTTCCACTGGGGTCCTTGACGGTCTTTGATGTTCCTTGAGGGTCCTTGATGATCCTTGATGGTTCTTGAAGGCCCTAGATTCACCATCTAGGACCTTCAAGAATCACCAAGGAGGTCGAAATATACAGTAATGGTTCTATCTTCTCTTTTCTTGTCTCCGTGTGAGTTCGTGTGTGAGTCCCTGACGTGAAAATCTACATGGCAGTGTAGGTGGGCTGAGGCGGTGTTGCTGGGGGAAAGAGAAATAGCCCTGGCAACCTATTGATGTATGTTAGACTTATTTACACCCTGGAGACCTTGAAGCGTCCCTGAGCCAGTGAGAGCTCGCGAAAGGCCGTTGATTCCTCCCAGCTACTGTCGAAGCTACGCCCCTGGGTGAGCCCTGAGGCATCACTGGCGTCCCCTTTCAGCAGCTCGTCCACTTGGTCCGTATCGATTTCCCATTGGCTGGAAATGACTGCCCCTGAGGAATCGCGGGTCTCCCATTGACTCGGGGAAGAGGTCACACCTAGTCACCAGGCTTCCTCCAGGTTCATCTTCGTGTGCTTGTCATCCTTCGTGGCGTCTCTCTTCTTGGCGGCGTCGGGCGGCGGGCGTCGGCGTCGGTTGCAACCGTGCACCGCCAGTATCAACACGCTGCAGGAAAACCAAAAAAAAAAAAAAAATATTATTTTTCGATAAAACAGCAAATATATATATATATATATATATATATATATATATATATATATATATATATATATATATATATATATATATATATATATATATATATATATATATATATATATATATATATTGTGTTATTGTCTGACAATAACAGAGAATATTGAAATATTAACACACTTAACACTAGGGGGTTACTGATAAGAACTACACGAGAGGAAACTGGGTTTGCATGGTATGTGCTGCTATTTCCTATATATAGGCATGATTCGACACGCCTCAGTTAGGGCATTGTTGCTGGCTGGCAGTCTGGCCATCGCACAACCCCGTCCCTCACAGGGGATTACAGCTATCTGTGAATATAATCTGTATAAATATTCTCTACACTTAGCCATTCACTGCATGACTATTACGTCAAAATGTTTAACATTACACATTAGAATTCCCCTGCATGGCTGTTACGTCAAAAGGCTTAACATTACGCATTTGTCTTTTACTGCAGGACTATTGTATCAAAATGTTTTTTTATATTAAGTTCAATGCATGACTCTTTTACGTCAAAATGTTTAACATTACGTATTAGAATTTCACTGCATAACTATTACGTCAAAATGTTTAACATTGCGCATTATCAAGCGAGGCATCCCTGAGCATGTTGATTAAAACTTGTGTCACAAGCGCGAGTTAAATTGAAGATGTCATGGCTCAAACTTAAGTTATATTTTGTCTCGTGTTTAATGAAGCGAGATTAAGTAATGCCATGCTGTGCGAAAACTGGTTATAAATGTAGACTGCAGTACGGAGGCTCGTGGAGAACATCTGTCACGTTACTGTGGAACGTTCGCCCTTCCAAGTCAAGGTTGCCTCAACACTTGACTGTGTCATTGCCAACAACATCTTGTGATATAAGAACACTGCAGTTGGCATAATGACCCTTGATGAGCCTGCTGACTGAGGCAACAAGCCGACAAGTGACAGTGAAGATGCATTTATATACAAGAAGCCTTTATTTTCTACATTTTGCTCACGGCTGAGTTTTGCGGAAGTTCCAGTCTGAGTTAAACATCGTCTAAGGTTTCGCTAGGTATTTCGTGTTATCATTACCTCATAATGAGCAGGTGGCACCTAATGTGAGATCACCTCTTACAAGGTACGCTCAGGTCACCTCTAGTCAGGTCTTCTTCAAGCTGGACTGCTACGGAGAGAACGATAACAGTCCTACATAAGCCAGAAGTTGCTGTTGCCATGGCCGGCCGGAGGTTGCTGTTGCCATGGCCCGCCAGAGGGCCACTGGAGCGTGCTCAGTCTTGCTCCTCCTTCACTGCAGTAATCACACCAGTGAACGACTCATAACAGCGACCCGCGTCAAGGAAGAAAAATAAATCACCATACCGTAGCTGGAACAGTCCACTAACAACTGACATAGACAGTGAGACAGGTTTATCAGACTCCGAAAACATACTTCTCCGGTATTTTAAAAGAATCTTGTTTACAACTTGTCCCTCAGTGTCGGAGTGAATTTCTATTTATTTGCCTCTTGATGTTTAGTCTGTATACAGATCCTCTCCCACTAAGGTATAGTATACCCGAAGAAAAAAAAAACATCCACCATTATTCATTTAAGTGTTGCCTGAAGGGCGCACACATCACTGTTCCAGTGACCCACTGGAACAGTGATGCGTACAGTGCAGGCACTGTACTTCCCCTCATTTTACTTCCCACCTCTAGGACTCGAGCCCAGCTAACCGGTTTTCTCTGACACTCCCTCTCACTCCAACTAAAAGACAACTATTCCCCTCAAAAACCCACTTGTCTCCACTCCGATCCAGCACACTCACACATCCACTCCGAAACCTCCCTCAACCCTGCTATTTCCACCCCTTCCTGGGACGACCCTACCCTTAATCCCATCCACCCCGGAGTTATACACTCCCTTGGTCACCCTATTCTGCTCCATCCTCTCTAATGTACCCGCACTGAAAAAAAAGCAATGACTAAGATTTATGGTGGTTGTCTGGGAGACATGACCGTGAGGGAGCGCTGGGGTAAGACCTTCATATAGTGGAGGGTAAACTAGATCCCTCAGTTGTCCAGATTATTCACGTAAGAGTAATTAAAACGAGAAAAACATGCTTTGAAGCGTGTGTAGGAGGGTGGAAGAGGCGGCACCAACGTGAACTGTTGTACTGAATAGTTATTAACTCAGGAGGGTCACCTGAGCTCTGCATACACTAGCTTTTCATAAAAATGTTTTGTGTTTTAAGAGAATGTGTTTGTGTTTTTATGTGAACGCGCTCGTGTGTGTGTGTGTGTGTATGTGTACTCGCCTGTTTGTGGTTACAGGAGTCGAGTCACAGCTCCTGTTGTGTGTGTGTGTGTACAGTATCACCTCATGTATTTTGTACTCAAGCTTCACCTTAGAGGAAGATCCTTCACTTTGAAAGGTCGGCTTTGCTATGCAAATGTTACCAAAAACGTTAACTTTCTGGAAGCAGTTCATGATCCACACTCATACCAGAGATCCACCATAGTGAACATTAAAATGGTATAAAATACCGACAGGTTGTTAGGTAAGACACATATGCAACAGTTAGGTATCTTTATTTCGAAACGTTTCGCCTACACAGTAAGCTTCTTCAGTCGAGTTCTCGACTGAAGAAGCCTACTGTGTAGGCGAAACGTTTCGAAATAAAGATACCTAACTGTTGCATATGTGTCTTACCTAACATCCACCATAGTATCTGAGTGACAAAATTATCCTGATTGGTAGGCTGGTCAATGGGGTTTAAAGCCTATCAACTGCACGAGGGTCATCAAGACCGCTCGTCACCAGTTCACCACCAGACAAGTATTCTTAAATGCCTTTGATTTACCTTTGACGGGGTTCGAGGGTTTTCCTACTGCCTCCCACCTCGGCCCTGAGCCAGGCTTGTCTGGTGCTTTTCTGGTCACCTAGGCTGTTACTGCAGGCTTGCAGCTGACCCAGACATCCATCACAGCCTGGTTGACCTGGTCAGTGCTATCACACTCTACGTGTTAAGCTATCCATTGGGAATTTAATACTGCCTTGTCTGTACAGTTATAATTGCAGAGTGTTGCAGAGTGTTGCGGAGTGTAAGCTTACTGATGACTGTTGCAGGCGCGGCACAGAGCTTCCGTAGAACAGTGATGTCACTGTCTACACTGACTGCACTGTCTACACTGACTACACTGTTTACACTGATTACACTGTCTACACTGTCTACACTGACTACAATGACATTCACAAGATGTTCCTGAACGGCAGTAATGTTTATGAGGCCACCATTACTTTCAATATAAATTCTTGATACACATTCGTATACTACACTGACGTGCATCTGCTCATGCTCACCCTGCTGAGGACGGGGTACCTTGATGCTGGTGAGAGGCTCTTGATCCAAGAACATGGGGCTATTCTTTCCTCTTCCTTGGATCACGCCTGATTCTATATAGTTATATTCCATCACACAGGATGGGTTGCAAAGTCATGAAATCTGCCGAAGATGATTCATACATCTACGTTTTCTGAATCCCGGGTTTTGAAACCCAGTGTATGAGGGTTTCTGGCATGTGCCCAGTAGAGGTTGATGGCACGGAAAGATGATTCAGAAGGTAGCTATTCATAGTCTCATCAACCATCGCGCCCACGGCCCGATCTCAGACGAGGTCTTCGCGGAAGGAGAGCTGGGAGTTCGTGTGCTTGGACGAAGGTTCGAGTCTCTGTTGAGCTGCGTGTTTATGGAATTTATTTACTTAGAATTGTGGTCCATTCGTCAAGTCAGACGATGGAAAGAAGTCACGTCGAAGGTTGAGAGACGTGGAGACAGACAAGAGAAGGGAGGAAAGAGTGAAGGTTAGAAGACATGTAAAGGCAGGTCAGGTAGGGAGAAGACAGCCAAGAATAGAAGAGACAAAGAGACAGCCAAGGTTAGGAAAAGAAGTCAGCTAAGGATAGGAGAGGCAAAGAGACAGACGTGGTTAGAAGAGCTGAGGAGACGATTATGATCACATCAGGTGCGTTATGAAGACTAACAGTATACCAGAAAAGACAGATATCTATAAGAAACTAAGCCAGTACTCGGATGCCTTCCATCAACGTCGTCGACCAGAACTGACACAATAAGACGGCAGCCGTGAAGGCTACCCAGAGGAAACGAATCAGTTTGGAATAGAACAACAGCTAATCCAATGACTGTGTTTTCTTATATAGAAAATTACTCCAGCAAGGCTGACATTTTTGTTTAGTCTCCCAGAAAAACAGAAATAGAGTAAGAAGGAGCACGAACGAGACAACTATAAAATATACAAGGTTTCTGAAATTCAAATTTAATATGTGGTGGATAGAGGAGGACAGAGGGTGTTAATTATTTTCTCAAAATAAAAACAAAATATGGGGTTAAGGAGAGACGGAGATTATTTTGTCCTAAGAGAAGGAAGAATTGATGAAATAAGAAGAACTAAGACTAACAGCGCAAGGTATAAATTTACCTCAAAAAACGTAGAGTTGAAAAAATCTATAAACATTTATTAAATTCTTATTTCCACTGATAGTTCACTCTAAATAGAGTTTTATAAGGTCTATGACTTAACAAAGAGCTGTATAGAAGCAAATAACTCTGTAAATAAAGTTTTTTGCTCTACAAAGAGTCTCTCTACTAGACCTGAGGGTGAAGCTTGTCTTACAAAACTGTAAGTTCCTTGTCTGAGAAGTCAAGGGTCGTTGACACTGAAATTTGCGCCTACAGAGTGTAAAAAGTTTAATCCTGGCAGTGTGGGCGAGTTGGCATGCTAGTAGTAGTGGTAGTGGTGGTAGTTGTTGTAGTTGTTGGTTGTTGTTGTTGTGGTGGTGTTGATGTTAGTGACGCTGTTGTTGTTAGTTTCTTGGTTTTAATACGATGTTGATTTTCTGCAGTGCCCCTTCGTCTTGCACTCCTGTGTATTTTTAATGC